CTAGACTCCCTCTCTCTCTCGCTCGCGCGCTCTCTCTCAAGCCTCTCACAGCACACAAAGAATACAAAGCGCGTGAGCAGGGTTCCAGGCCCCCAATAAAGTGTTAGATTTGGGTAGCAAGGATTAGTGTGACGCGGTCCATGCAGGCATGTTTTCTGACGGCCGACCGTCAGTGCGCGGAGTTGCCCCGCTTCTCCGACTGCCCCGGCCACAGTTCCCGAGCTCGCGCGGGAGTGACCCCTGCGTCCCCCGAGACCTATCGCGGGTGGGTTGGAGGGGTCTCTCGCTGCGCGGAAGGGCGGTGTAAGAAGCCGATCCCCATAGTCCGCCGCTCCGCCCCCCTCCCCCCCATCGGGCCGCACAAGCGGCCTCGCCTCGCAGATTCATTTCTCGCGCCCTGGGTCAGGCGCGCGGGGCCTCCCCCGGGTCGCTCGACCAGCGATCCGAAGAGTGGCACAGACAGTAGAGACGGACAGACAGGCAGTCAGACAGCGACGACAGTCAGAAGGCAGCACTGTGGGTGGCCCAGGAAGGAAGGCGAATGCGATGACGGCCTCTGCGTGTGAGCTCTATATCTAGCTCGTAAGTGTGAGAGCTCGCACGCAGCTCACACACCACACCACACACACACACACACACACACACACACACACACAACAACAACAACAACAACAACAACAACAACAACAACAACAACAACAACAACAACAACAACAACAACAACAACAACAACAACAACAACAACAACAACACCCACCGACCGACCGCGCGTCCGCGCCCGGGCCCAAGCAAGCAAGATAGATCGCACCAACCAGGATCGCTCGCACAAACAACGCCTCTCACAGACAGACACAACAACATGTAGGTAAGGTTGCTAAACGTGCTGCAAGCCTATCGACCTAAACGTGCTGCTAGCTCTACACTATAGACGATGCGGACGTCCGTCGGTTGCGCTTGCGGCTGCTCAGTAGTGTGGCACAATAATGGAGTCCACTCCGACGGTCGACATCTACGAGAACCGCACCAAGGAGGAGTGGTTAGGCTTGGTGAGCACCCTGGGCACGCTGAGCCTGATCATCATGCCGCTGCCACCCTTTGGGCTTGCATTGCCACCGCATCGGCCTTGCCACGCGCCTCGGTCTCTCACGGCCGTCGTGTGCTGTTTTCAGGTCCTGCCCGGCCATTCCAAACCTCTGGTGGCTGACAGTTGTCTTCGGCGCCATCGCCATCGTCAACGGTCTCGCCCAATTCATCCTCCGCCTCGAGAAGAAGAAGAAGCTTGGTGCGGAGTCCTCGCTCGACAAGGCTGTCGGTGCTTTCGGGGGACTGATCCTGCCGTTTGCTATCTGGATGGCAGTTCTCGCGTGGCCAAACGCGCGGTATCTATGCCAGATAAACTTCCTCTCCTTTCTCTGTGGGAGTCGCTCTTCGAGCGCAGAGGAACTCGCAGAAGAGTGCCATATCAACGTCTTCGCAAGCGGCTTCATCGCATGCACGATCGCCCTCATCTTCATCGTCGTCATACTGGGCGGCATGCTGGTGTCCGCTGTGTTCGAGAAGAGCAGCGGCGGCGGCGACGCCGAGGAAAAGCCTGCGGGATCGACCGGTACCGGAGGCAGCCAGCGAGGTAGTGTGTGAGAGGCTGTGCGCCACAGGTGACTCCGTAGTGCTAGTGGAAACTGCCCCCCTGGAGACCGGGGCGCCGCGCGTTTATATAGCTTACAGGTAGGTGTGGGGAACACGCCGGACCGGGAGGGCTATACAGCCTACACAACCAGTACAACTACAATGTGGCCGAACACGCAGCTGGAGCTGCCTTGCGTGTACGTGGTATATATTACTGGTAAAGCCGTGCCGACTGCCGTAGCGGCTAGCGCCCGTACCCGCACCCACGAGATGCATGTGGATGTGTGTGCTCTTCGCCTCGCTCTTCCACTCCCGGTGCGTGGGGTTGAGGGAACGGTTCCTCTCGTTCTCAAGACACATCTCTCTCTCCCCCAAGAGGCGTCTCAGTGAACGCCTGTCACATAGAGTCCCACATGCTCCCACTGCGCTCCTTGTACACCTACCAGTCCGTATTCGGAGCCAGACGAGCCAGACGAAATCGCCGGCGACTAGCCGCGGCCACGCCGCCTTGCCAAGCAAGCGTTTGCATGGCGACGCCGATCTCGACGAGGCCAGACATGCTACCCCTCTGCCCGTGCTCCCACCCTCTCCCGTGCTCCAGCCAGCCACGCTATACAGCCGCTCGCCGCGCCTTGGGCCCAGCGGGCCCGCGCCTCCCGCCCCCGGACCGCAGCCCTGCGGGGGCGGGCTCAGGAGGCGGGCTGCTCGACGGCCGAAGAGGTGGGTAGAGAGTAGCCCACTTGCAGCCCCACCGCCGGGGGCAGCTCGCCGTTCAGCTGCGGCGGTGAATAGGTGGCGGGAATAGGCGCCTGGGGGCAGAGATTGCACTGAGGGAGAGCCTTAGAGAAGGGGAGGGGGGGGGGGGGGGGCGATGGCTCTTTGGGCCGCGGCGCGCCATGCGGCACGGTCGGCACGCCGTGCGGCATCATGTGCATCAAGTGCGGCGGGGGCTGGAAGGGAGGCATGCCCCCCATCGAGGCCCCCAGCTGGCCGGCGGGCACGGGCTGCTGCTGGCCGGGGAAGGCGGCGGCGTCCCCGGCGGGCTGCGCCTGGCCCGGCTGCTGGCCCGGCTGCTGGCCGGGGTAGCAGCCGGGGTAGGCTGGCTGCGTCGCGGCCGCCTCGGGCGCTCCCTCTGCGGACGGCGCCGCCTGAACGGAGGGAGGCTGGGAGGAGCCCGGTTGCCCTGCCTGCGACGGCGGGGGCTGCTGCTGCGGGGACGACTGGCCTGGCTGCGGCTGGGCCAGCTGCTGCGCCTGCAGCGGCGCCTGCTGCGCCTGCGGCGGCTGCTGAGGCGGCGGCTGCGGCTGGCCTTGCTGCTGCGGCTGGCCTTGCTGCTGCGGCTGCTGCGGCGCCTCCCCTGCCTGAGGCTGGCCTGGGACGGCGGGCTGGCCTGGGACGGCGGGCTGGCCTGGGACGGCGGACTGCCCCATCATGGGCGGCGTCCCGGGGTACGGCGCGTACAGCTGCCCGCTTGCGGGTGCGATGCCGGCCGGCAGCGGCATTGGCGCGGCGGCGGGGTGCATCATGCCGTAGACTTGGGGGGGGAGGTAGCCCGGGGGGATCATGTTGGGTGGGAACAGCTGCGCGCCCGGCGGGAGGACGCCCCCGTCCATCGAGCGCCGTGCCTGCGGTGGGGAAGGGATGGGGCGGGGCGGTGAGGGGAACCCGAGTCGGCGGGCAGAGAGACGCGCGAGCGGAGGAGGAAAGGGAGGG